AATAGTCTCCCTGTTACTGGTCAGTAGTATCCCTGTTACTGGCTCAATAGTCTCCCTGTTACTGGCTCAATAGTCTCCCTGTTACTGGCTCAGTGATCTCCCTGTTACTGGCTCAATGGTTCCCCTGTTACTGGCTCAATGGTCTCCATGTTTCTGGCTCAATGGTCTCCCTGTTACTGGCTTAGTTGTCTCCCTGTTACTGGCTCAATGGTCTCCCTGTTACTTGCTCTATGGTCTCCCTGTAACTGGTTCAATGGTCTCCCTGATACTGGCTTAGTGGTTTCCCTGTTACTGAGTTCATGGTATCCCTGTTACTGGCTAAGTGGTCCCGCTGTCACTGCGTCCATGGTATCCCTGTTACTGGCTAAGTGGTCCCGCTGTCACTGGGTCCATGGTATCCCTGTTACTTGCTCAATGGTGTCCTTGTTACTGACTCAATGGTACTCATGTTACTGGCTCAATGGTCTCCATATTACTGGGTCAATGGTCTCCCTGTTACCGGCTCAATGGTCTCCCTGTTACTGGCTCAATGGTCTCCATGTTACTGGCCCAATGGTCCCCCTGTTACTGATCAATGGTATCCATGTTAAAGGGTCAATGGTCTCCCTGTAACTGGCTCAATGGTCTCCCTGTTACTGGCTCAGTGGTCCCCCTGTTTCTGGCTCAATGGTCTCCATGTTACTGTCTCAGTGGTCTCCCTGTTACTGGCTCAGGTGTCTCCCTGTAACTGGTTCAATGGTCTCACTGTAACTGGCTCAATGTTCTCCCTGTTACTGGCTCAGTGGTCCCCCTGTTACTGGCCCAATGGTCTCCATGTTACTGGCTCAGTGGTCCCCCTGTTACTGGCTCAGTGGTATTCCTGTTACTGGCGCAATAGTCCCCCTGTTACTGATCAATGGTCTCCATGTTAAAGGGTCAATGATCTCCCTGTAACTGGCCTAGTGGTCTCCCTGTTACTGGGTTCATGGTATCCCTGTTACTGGCTAAGTGGTCCCGCTGTCACTGGGTTCATGGTATCCCTGTTACTGGCTCAATGGTACCCCTGTTACTGGCGCAATAGTCTCCATGTTACTGGCGCAATGGTCTCCCTGTTACTGGCTCAGTGGTATCCCTGTTTCTGGCTCAATGGTCTCCATGTTACTGGCTTAATGATCTCCATGTTACTGGCTCAATGTTTTCCCTGTTACTGGGTCAATGGTCCCCATGTTACTGGCTAAATAGTCTCCCTGTTACTTGTTCAATTGTCTCCCTGCTACTCTCTCAATTGTCTCCCTGTTACTGGCTCAGTGGTCTCCCTGTTACCGGCTCAATGTATCCATGTAACTGGCCCAATGGTCTCCCTGTAACTGGCTCAATGTTCTCCCTGTTACTGGCTCAGTGGTCCCCCTGTTACTGGCCCAATGGTCTCCATGTTACTGGCTCAGTGGTCTCCCTGTTACTGGCTCAGTGGTCTTTCTGTAACTGGCGCAATGGTCCCCCTGTTACTGATCAATGGTCTCCATGTTAAAGGGTCAATGATCTCCCTGTAACTGGCTTAGTGGTCTCCCTGTTACTGGGTTCATGGTATCCCTGTTACTGGCTAAGTGGTCCCGCTGTCACTGGGTCCATGGTATCCCTGTTACTGGCTCAATGGTCCCCCTGTTACTGGCGCAATAGTCTCCATGTTACTGGCGCAATGGTCTCCCTGTTACTGGCTCAATGGTATCCCTGTTTCTGGCTCAATGTTTTCCCTGTTACTGGGTCAATGGTCTCCATGATACTGGCTAAATAGTCTCCCTGTTACTTGTTCAATGGTCTCCCTGTTACTCTCTCAATTGTCTCAATTGTCTCCCTGTTACTGGCTCAGTGGTCTCCCTGTTACCGGCTCAATGTATCCATGTTACTGGCTCAATGGTCTCCCTGTTACTGGCCCTATGGTCTCCCTGTTACTGGCTCAGTGTTCCCCCTGTTACTGGATCAGTGGTATCCCTGTTACTGGCTCAGTGGTTTCCCAGTTACTGGTCAGTGGTCTCTCTGTTACTGGGTCAATGGTCTCCCTGTTACTGGCTTAATGGTCTCTTTGTTACTGGCTCAGTGGTCTTCCTGTTACTGGAGCAGTGTTCTCCCTGTTATTGGCTCAATGGTCTCCATGTTACTGGCTCAATGGTCTCCCTGTTACTAGCTCAATGATCTCCCTGTTACTTGCTCAGTGGTCCCCTTGTTACTGGCCCAATGTTCTCCCTGTTACTTGCTCAGTGGTTCCCCTGTTACTGGCTCAGTGGTCTCCCTGTTACCGGCTCAATGTCTCCATGTCACTGGCGCAATGGTCCCCCTGTTACTGGGTCCATAGTATCCCTGTTACTGGCTCAAAAGTCTCCATGTTACTGGCTCAATGGTCTCCCTGTTTCTGGGTCCATGGTATCCCTGTTACTGGCTCAGTGGTTTCCCTGTTACTGGCTCAATAGTCTCCCTGTTTCTGGTCAGTGGTATCCCTGTTACTGGCTAAATAGTCTCCCTGTTACTGGCTCAATGGTCTCCCTGTTACTGGCTCAGTGGTCTCCCTGTTACTGGAGCAGTGGTCTCCCTGTTACTGGCTCAATGATCTCCCTGTTACTGGCTCAATTGTCTCCATGTTACTGTATCATTGGTCTCCCTGTTACTGGGTCCATGGTATCCCTGTTACAGGCTCAAAAGTCTCCATGTTACTGGCTCAATGGTCTCCCTGTTTCTGGGTCCATGGTATCCCTGTTACTGGCTCAGTGGTTTCCCTGTTACTGGCTCAATAGTCTCCCTGTTACTGGTCAGTGGTCTCCCTGTTACTGGCTCAATGGTCTCCATGTTACTGGCTCAATGGTCTCCCTGTTACTGGCTCAATGATATCCCTGTTACTGTCTCAATGATCTCCCTGTTACTGTCTCAATTGTCTCCCTGTTACTGGCTCAGTGGTCTCCCTGTTACCGGCTCAATGTCTCCATGTTACTGGCGCAATGGTCTCCCTGTTAATGGGTCCATGGTATCCCTGTTACTGGCTCAAAAGTCTCCATGTTACTGGCTCAATGGTCTCCCTGTTACTGGCTCAAAAGTCTCCATGTTACTGGCTCAGTGTTCCCCCTGTTTCTGGGTCCATGATATCCCTGTTACTGGCTCAATAGTCTCCCTGTTACTGGTCAGTGGTCTCCCTGTTACTGGCTCATTGATATCCCTGTTACTGTCTCAATGACCTCCCTGTTACTGTCTCAATTGTCTCCCTCTTACTGGCTCAGTGGTCTCCCTGTTACCGGCTCAATGTATCCATGTATCCATGTTACTGGCTCAATGGGCTCCCTGTTACTGGCTCAATGTTTCCATATTACTGGCTCAATGGTCTCCCTGTTCCTGGCTCAATGATATCCCTGTTACTGTCTCAATGATCTCCCTGTTACTGGCTCAATGATATCCATGTTCCTGGCTCAGTGGTCCCCCTGTTACTGGGTCAATGTTCTCCCTGTTACTGGGTCAATGTTCTCCCTGTTACTGGGTCAATGTTCTCCCTGTTACTGGGTCAATGTTCTCCTTGTTACTGGCTCAGTGGTCCCCCTGTTACTGGGTCAATGTTCTCCTTGTTACTGGCTCAGTGGTCCCCCTGTTACTTGGTCCATGGTCTCCCTGTTACTGGCTCAGTGGTTTCCCTGTTTCTGGGTCCATGGTCTCCCTGTTACTGGCTCAATGGTCTCCCTGTTACTTGGTCAATGGTCTCCCTGTTACTGGCTCAATGATATCCATGTTACTGGCTCAGTGGTCCCTCTGTTACTGGGTCAATGGTCTCCCTTGTGCTGGCTCAATGATATCCATGTTACTGGCTTAGTGGTCCCCCTGTTACTGGGTCAATGTTCTCCTTTTTACTGGCTCAGTGGTCCCCCTGTTACTGGGTCAATGTTCTCCTTTTTACTGGCTCAGTGGTCCCCCTGTTACTGGGTCAATGTTCTCCTTGTTACTGGCTCAGTGGTCTCCCTGTTACTGGGTCAATGGTCTCCCTGTTACTGGCTCAATGATATCCATGTTACTGGCTTAGTGGTCCCCCTGTTACTGGGTCAATGTTCTCCTTGTTACTGGCTCAGTGGTCCCCCTGTTACTGGGTCAATGTTCTCCCTGTTACTGGCTCAGTGGTCCCCCTGTTACTTGGTCCATGGTCTCCCTGTTACTGGCTCAGTGGTCTCCCTGTTTCTGGGTCCATGGTCTCCCTGTTACTGGCTCAATGGTATCCATGTTACTGGCTCAGTGGTCCCTCTGTTACTGGGTCCATGGTCTCCCTATTATCTGTAGCAGGGTCAGTTAAATTTAGCAATCATTTTCTTCTGTCTCGAACAGTGAATTTCATTGTTTCTAAAACCGGTTATTGTTTAATGTTTAAATGTACCTGTTCTTGTAAAAACTGTTGTTGGTTTATTAGGTGTTGTTCAAACAAGCGATAGATTTTCTTTGTTGGTTTATTAGGTGTTTTTCAAACAAACCATGTTTTTCTTGGTTTGTATATTAGGTGTTGTTCAAACAAACGATTGATTTACTTGGTTGGTATATTAGGTGTTTTTCAAATAAACGATAGATTATCTTTGTTGGTATATTAGGTTTTGTTCAAACAAGCAATGTTTTTTCTTGGTTGGTATATTAGGTTTTGTTCAAACAAACGATGGTTTTATCTTGGTTGGTATATTAGGTTTTGTTCAAACAAACGATAGATTATCTTGGTTGGTTTATTAGGTGTTGTTCAAACAAGCAATATTTTTTTCTTGGTTGGTATATTAGGTTTTTTCAAACAAACGATGGTTTATCTTGTTTTCTTTGCAGCCCTGGTTAACCAAACAATATTTCATTGGTTTCTAAAAAAAATCAAGATTAATTTTCTATTACAGTTTTATGAAATAGTTGTCCCCTTGACATCTACGCGTCCGCTTTTATGAAGCATTTCTTACCTAAGTTCAGGTTGACTAGAACACATTGGCACGATAATGTCATTAATGAAGATAAGAAAGCTTTGAACGTTAGAGTAATCTCCCTTTACATAATTCTGGAAATACAAATAGAAAACAGATGAATTGTTGTTTTCCTGAAAAAACAAAACTTCGCTGAATCTTTTTACATATACAATATTACAGTTAATTTATAATTATAAGTTACAATTGACAAGTTTGAAGAAGAGTAAATCGACAATCACTCATTTGCAGAAATAAAGAACCCGGAGAAGGAGCTCATCGAGGCCATTATTACTGCTCCGTTTGAACTTTGGCCGACTACAACCCTCACTGTGTCTCCCACCACCAGGTTCAGTATAGCGGTACCGGTCGCCATGCTGATATCCTTAGCATCACCTGTGAAGGTACGTCCCGACTCGATATTCCCCTGCGCAAACAAGTACAACGTAATATAATGTATTAGATATCCTTCGATACGGACATATATAAAACATACACGTACAACGTTATACAATGTATTAGATACATACAAGTACAATGTTATACATTGTATTTGATACATACAAGTACAACTTAATACAATGTATTGGATACATACACGTACCACGTAATACAATGTATTAGATACATACAAGTACAACTTAATACAATGTTTTAGATACATACACGTACAACGTAATATAATGTATTAGATATCCTTTGCTATGTACATATATAAAACATACACCTGCAACGTAATACAATGTATTAGATTCATACACGTACAACGTTATACAATGTTTTAGATATATACACGTACAACGTAATACAATGTATTTGATATCCTTTGATATGTACATATATAAAACATACACGTACAACGTAATACAATTTATTAGATATCCTTTGATAGGTATATAAAACATACACGTACAACGTAATACAATGTAGTTGATACATACACGTACAACGTAATGCAATGTATTAGATATCCTTTGATACGTACATATATCAAACATACATGTACAACGTAATACAATGTATTAGATATACTTTGATATGTACATATATAAAACATACACGTACAACGTAATACAATTTATTAGATATCCTTTGATAGGTATATAAAACATACACGTACAACGTAATACAATGTAGTTGATACATACACGTACAACGTAATGCAATGTATTAGATATCCTTTGATACGTACATATATCAAACATACATGTACAACGTAATACAATGTATTAGATATGCTTTGATATGTACATATATAAAACATACACGTACCATGTAATACAATGTATTAGATATCCTTTAATACGTAAATATATAAAACATACACGTACAACGCAATACAATGTGTTAGATATCCTTTGATATGTACATATATCAAACAAAAACGTACAACATTATACAATGTATTAGATACATACACGTACAACGTAATGAAATGTATTAGATATCCTTCGATACGGACATATATAAAACATACACGTACAACGTTATACAATGTATTAGATACATACAAGTAAAATGTTATACATTGTATTTGATACATACAAGTACAACTTAATACAATGTATTGGATACATACACCTACCACGTAATACAATGTATTAGATACATACAAGTACAACTTAATACAATGTTTTAGATACATACACGTACAACGTAATATAATGTATTAGATATCCTTTGCTATGTACATACATAAAACATACACGTACAACGTTATACAATGTTTTAGATATATACACGTACAACGTAATACAATGTATTTGATATCCTATGATATGTACATATATAAAACATACACGTACCACGTAATACAATGTATTAGATATCCTTTAATACGTAAATATATAAAACATACACGTACAACGCAATACAATGTATTAGATATCCTTTGATATGTACATATATCAAACAAAAACGTACAACGTTATACAATGTATTAGATACATACACGTACAACGTAATGCAATGTATTAGATATCCTTTGATACGTACATATATAAAACATACACGTACCACGTAATACAATGTATTAGATTCATACATGTGCAACGTTATACAATGTATTAGATATATACACGTATAACGTAATACAATGTATTTGATATCCTTTGATATGTACATATATAAAACATACACGTACAACGTAATACAATGTATAGATATCCTTTGATATGTACATATATAAAACATACACGTACCACGTAATACAATGTATTAGATATCCTTTGATATGTACATATATAAAACGTACACGTACAACGTAATACAAAGTATTTGATACATACACTTACAACGTAATACAATGTATTAGATATCATTTGATATGTACATATATCAAACATACACGTACAACGTAATACAATGTATTAGATATCCTTTGATCCGTACATATATAAAACATACGCGTACAACGTAATACAATGTATTAGATATCATTTGATATGTACATATATCAAACATACACGTACAACGTAATATAATGTATTAGATATCCTTTGATATGTACATATATCCAACATACAAAAACGTACAACGTTATACAATGTATTAGATACATAAACGTACAACGTAATGCAATGTATTAGATATCCTTTGATATGTACATATATACAACATACACGTACAACGTAATACAATTGTTTAGATATCCTTTGATTCGTACATGTAAAAAACATACACCTACAACGTAATGCAATGTATTAGATATCTTTTGATACGTACATATATAAAACATACACGTACCACGTAATACAATGTATTAGATTCATACATGTGCAACGTTATACAATGTATTAGATATATACACGTATAACGTAATACAATGTATTTGATATCCTTTGATATGTACATATATAAAACCTACACGTACAACGTAATACAATGTATTAGATGTCCTTTGATACGTACATATATAAAACTTCCACGTACAACGTAATACAATGTATTAGATGTCCTTTGATACGTACATATATAAAGCTTACACGTACAACGTAATACAATGTATTTGATATCCTTTGATATGTACATATATAAAACATACACGTACCACGTAATAAAATTTATTTGATATCCTTTGATATGTACATATATAAAACGTACACGCACAACGTAATACAAAGTATTTGATACATACACTTACAACCTAATACAATGTATTAGATATCATTTGATATGTACATATATCAAACATACACGTATAACGTAATACAATGTATTATATATCCTTTGATACGTATATATATCAAACATACACGTACAACGTAATATAATGTATTAGATATCCTTTGATATGTACATATATCAAACATACACGTACAACGTAGTACAATGTATTCGATATCCTTTGATTCGTACATATATCAAACATACACCTACAACGTAATACAATGTATTAGATATCCTTTGATACGTATCAACGTAATACAATGTATTAGATATCCTTTGATACGTATATAGAGATATCCTTTGATACGTACATATATAAAACATACACGTACCACGTAATAAAATTTATTTGATATCCTTTGATATGTACATATATAAAACATACACGTACAATTGTTTAGATATCCTTTGATTCGTACATGTAAAAAACATACACCTACAACGTAATGCAATGTATTAGATATCTTTTGATATGTACATTAATAAAACATACACGTACAAGGTAATGCAATGTATTAGATATCTTTTGATACGTACATATATAAAACTTACACGTACAACGTAATACAATGTATTTGATATCCTTTGATATGTACATATATAAAACATACACGTACAATTGTTTAGATATCCTTTGATTCGTACATGTAAAAAACATACACGTACAACGTAATACAATGGATTAGATGTCCTTTGATACGTACATATATAAAACTTACACGTACAACGTAATACAATGTATTTGATATCCTTTGATATGTACATATATAAAACATACACGTACCACGTAATAAAATTTATTTGATATCCTTTGATATGTACATATATCAAGCATACACGTACCACGCAATACAATGAATTAGATATCCTTTGATATGTACATATATAAAACATACACGTACAATTGTTTAGATATCCTTTGATTCGTACATGTAAAAAACATACACGTACAACGTAATACAATGCATTAGATATCCTTTGATATGTACATATATCCAACATACACGTACAACGTAATACAATGTAGTTGATACATACACGTACAACGTTATACAATGTATTAGATATCCTTTGATATGTACATATATAAAACCTACACGTACAACGTAATACAATGTATTAGATGTCCTTTGATACGTACATATATAAAACTTACACGTACAACGTAATACAATGTATTAGATATCCTTTGATATGTACATATATCAAACAGACACGTACAACGCAATACAATGTATTAGATATCCTTTGCTATGTACATATATAAAACATCCAAGTACAACGTAATACAATTGTTTAGATATCCTTTGATATGTACATATATAAAACATACGCGTACAACGTAATACAATGTATTAGATATACTTTGATATGTACATATATAAAACATACATGTACAACGTAATACAATGTATTAGATATCATTTGATATGTACATATATCAAACATACACGTACAACGTAATAGAATGTATTAGATACATACACGTATAACGTAATACAATGTATTAGATATCCTTTGATATGTACATATATCAAACAGACACGTACAACGTAATACAATGTATTAGATATCCTTTGCTATGTACATATATAAAACATGCAAGTACAACGTAATACAATTGTTTAGATATCCTTTGATACGTACATATATCAAACATACACGTAGAGCGTAGTACAAAGTATTAGATATCCTTTGATTCGTACATATATCAAACATACACCTACAACGTAATACAATGTATTAGATATCCTTTGATACGTATATATATAAAACATACACGTACAACGTAATACAATGTATTAGATATCATTTGATATGTACATATATCAAACATACACGTACAACGTAATAGAATGTATTAGATACATACACGTACAACGTAATACAATGTATTAGATATCCTTTGATATGTACATATATAAAACATACACGTACAACGTAATACAATGTATTAGATATCCTTTGATATGTACATATATAAAACATACACGTACAACGTAATACAATGTATTAGATATCCTTTGATATGTACATATATAAAACATACACGTACAACGTAATACAATGTATTAGATATCCTTTGATATGTACATATATAAAACATACACGTACAACGTAATACAATGTATTAGATATCCTTTGATATGTACATATATAAAACATACACGTACAACGTAATACAATGTATTAGATATCCTTTGATATGTACATATATAAAACATACACGTACAACGTAATACAATGTATTAGATATCCTTTGATATGTACATATATAAAACATACACGTACAACGTAATACAATGTATTAGATATCCTTTGATATGTACATATATAAAACATACACGTACAACGTAATACAATGTATTAGATATCCTTTGATATGTACATATATAAAACATACACGTACAACGTAATACAATGTATTAGATATCCTTTGATATGTACATATATAAAACATACACGTACAACGTAATACAATGTATTAGATATCCTTTGATATGTACATATATAAAACATACACGTACAACGTAATACAATGTATTAGATATCCTTTGATATGTACATATATAAAACATACACGTACAACGTAATACAATGTATTAGATATCCTTTGATATGTACATATATAAAACATACACGTACAACGTAATACAATGTATTAGATATCCTTTGATATGTACATATATAAAACATACACGTACAACGTAATACAATGTATTAGATATCCTTTGATATGTACATATATAAAACATACACGTACAACGTAATACAATGTATTAGATATCCTTTGATATGTACATATATAAAACATACACGTACAACGTAATACAATGTATTAGATATCCTTTGATATGTACATATATAAAACATACACGTACAACGTAATACAATGTATTAGATATCCTTTGATATGTACATATATAAAACATACACGTACAACGTAATACAATGTATTAGATATCCTTTGATATGTACATATATAAAACATACACGTACAACGTAATACAATGTATTAGATATCCTTTGATATGTACATATATAAAACATACACGTACAACGTAATACAATGTATTAGATATCCTTTGATATGTACATATATAAAACATACACGTACAACGTAATACAATGTATTAGATATCCTTTGATATGTACATATATAAAACATACACGTACAACGTAATACAATGTATTAGATATCCTTTGATATGTACATATATAAAACATACACGTACAACGTAATACAATGTATTAGATATCCTTTGATATGTACATATATAAAACATACACGTACAACGTAATACAATGTATTAGATATCCTTTGATATGTACATATATAAAACATACACGTACAACGTAATACAATGTATTAGATATCCTTTGATATGTACATATATAAAACATACACGTACAACGTAATACAATGTATTAGATATCCTTTGATATGTACATATATCAAACATACACGTACAACGTAATACAATGTATTAGATATCCTTTGATATGTACATATATCAAACATACACGTACAACGTAATACAATGTATTAGATATCCTTTGATATGTACATATATCAAACATACACGTACAACGTAATACAATGTATTAGATATCCTTTGATATGTACATAGATCAAACATACACGTACAACGTAATACAATGTATTATATATCCTTTGATACGTACATATATAAAACATACACGTACAACGTAATCGATGTATTAGATATCCTTTGATACGTACATATATCAAACATACATGTACAACGTAATACAATGTATTAGATATCCTTTGATATGTACATATATAAAACATACACGTACAACGTAATACAATGTATTAGATATCCTTTGATATGTACATATATCAAACATACACGTACAACGTAGTACAATGTATTAGATATCCTTTGATATGTACATATATAAAACATGCACGTAAAACGTAGTACAATTATTAGATATCCTTTGATATGTACATATATCAAACATACACGTACAACGTAATCGATGTATTAGATATCCTTTGATATGTACATAGATCAAACATACACGTACAACGTTATACAATGTATTAGATATCCTTTGATTCGTACATGTAAAAAACATACACGTACAACGTAATGCAATGTATTAGATATCCTTTGATATGTACATATATAAAACATACACGTACAACGTAATATAATGTATTAGATATCCTTTGATACGTACATATATAAAACATACACGTACAACGTTATACAATGTATTAGATATCCTTCGATACGTACATATATAAAACATACACGTACAACGTAATACAATGTATTTGATATCCTTCGATACGTACATATATAAAACATATATTTTACTCAATCTCGATAAATTTCACCTTGCATCAAGGCGCCTATCAACATTTATTCGAAAATGGACGGAATCAATTTCCGTTTTCTAATTCCAAAGAAATCATTCTTGTTTCCAAAAATAAATTGCAGTGATGTCAGTTTGCTGTTAAAATAAAAAAGGTTCAAAAGGAAAAGGCTTCTTCTAATAAAAGTTATTTACCTCTGATGAATGAACGGCACGGAAACGGAAAATAATCACAGTAATCTTGTGTTATTCCATTGATGGTTTTTTATGAGGAAATCTTTGAGGAAAAGTTACTTAAAGGAAACTGAAAATACATCAAATACAACTGAAGAATAAGAACGTTGCGAATAGCTTTGGTAAATTCCTATATACGATAAATGTACCTACATGCATTAGCGCCGCGAAGATGTAGTGTCCGTAGTAGGTTGCGAGGCTCCATGAGAATGAGTAAAGTCCGGGCACATTAGCAGTAAACACGCCATCATTAGTGTCGTAGTTCCTAGCTGTGTTGAGTATCAGCTGGTTAAACAGGATTGGACGATTGACTTCCGGAGGGTGGATATCCTGCCTCAGACTGACGTAAAACGCTGTGGCCACTGTTGATCCTGTAAAAACAATAGTGCACAAATCAAGAGTAAACACACCTCGTCAATAATAGTCCAGATACTGATTTTAAGAAAAGTTGTATGTATTTCTTTTTCACGGTTTTAATTGCTTTGTTGCGCTCGTACCTACCTTGAAGTACATTTGTAGGCCACATTCATAGCCTGTTTGATCACAGGTTGAAATGTGCATGTGTGAAGTACGCACATTGCATAGGTACATAATTGTTTGTTGTAGTACTTTATCATGAGTAACTTTTGTTTAATGTATGGTTTGTCAAAGTTTTAAGAGGAACATATCACACACGAACACCGCTGACTGCACATTTTAACATTGGTAACACACACGAACACCGCTGACTGCACATTTTAACATTGGTAACACACACGAACACCGCTGACTGCACATTTTAACATTGGTAAAAGGTGCAGCAGGCCACAGTGAACTACACGGCACCAAACACTTCGTATTCTTCTTCTAGGAATAGTCGGTGATGCTAGGACACCAAACGCTGGACATACAGACTGTCTCTTCTACTATTGACACAGCGGGGCATGTGCGTAAAACTCATTAATCTATTGATAATAAGTGTGTATATTATGAACTATTATGCTACTGCTCAAAAGAGATTATTGTTGCCATTGCAACGAAAACTTGATTTGTTGTCTTTAATTGTATTGCATCCTTTTATAAATCTTTATTTTATTTCGACTTATTTGTTTTTAATTTTAGCGTTTTTTCCCAGAATACCCACCTTTATGATTATTGCAGGGACGTCATACTTTGGAAAGAAATCAGGAAATTTTATTGTGTAATTACTAATTAGTTCATTTTTCATTTATGATTTAAAGCGATCATGGTAGTATTGATGCCTTACACTTATCTTACTGGAGAATACGTTTGACGATAACGAGACAAATCAGTATGTTCTGTGTAAATCTTAGTGTCTTAGTGTCTATTTACATTGTTCCTACATAAAATCATCATGTGTCCGGTTTTTATTAAAATCTAAATAGTTCCAAGATAATTATAATTATGGATTTGATGATAAATTTAACCCGCTGATAGTGTAACAGTGTGAAATGCAATGTGAGACGTTGCTATATAACACATTTATATACTTCATTAAACTACTCTGAGATGGTGTGAAGTATATGTATTAGGATTATTCTAGATAAAACTTCTGATGTTTAAAAAAAAAAAAAAAAAAAAAAAATCCACACTTTACAATACATTTGAACATCGGCATAGTTCTTACTTGAATATTCATGAGTGATAGCGAGTTTTTTCTTTCAAACATCAACCACGCACAGATATCGAAACGTGATTCTATATCCTAGATTATTATCAATATTAAATATATTTCAAATTTCAAATTTCGTTATAATACGATAAAGATCATACTGCTTTTTAATAGCTGAGCGTGTTGGATCTGGAGGTCAGACAGTTTCTGTCGAAACATAATCATGGTTTTGTTAGTTTCAAACATGGATTTCTGCATATCCTTCACATGGTTGAGCAGCTTGTGTACGGCTCCTCTGTCCTCCAATGGGCTGGAGAGGATGTTTGTGTCTGGAAACCTTCGTGGGATTCTCGCTGCCAGACTCATCTAGAATTGAATACATTTTTATTTGCAAGAGGTGTTTTTTTTTTTAAAGTTTTTTGACGAATAGCCAATACATTTCGATTGACACAATGTTAGTGTTTAGCTCTGGACTGTATCAGCCCTTCATTGCGAACAGGTTCAGGCGAATGGGTCTTTTAATCTGTAACATCAACTGATATACATTCGATCCAATATTAGATTTCTATTGTCAATTTGTGAAAATTAAATTACTTCCACATCAGAAGTTCTGTTTTTAATCAAAGTGGAGTATTTGTTGAAAAGCAAAGTAACGTTCATAACCAAATTGGTAATCAAACGTCATTTTTAAGAACGAAACGACAAAAAAATCTAAACGGAATGAAATATTATTGAATTGTATTTGTCTGCAAGGAAACTTGAAAATGAATTGTCAGAAATGAAACAAATATCAATTCCATACACGGATTGTCTCCCTTTAAACACAAACACCACTCGTTGTAGTTCCTGTAACGGTTCCCAGCTATACAACAATGGTCCTTTTAGATTTTAACAATATTACAATTTCTGAAAAATGGAAAAGTAAGCTACGTACATGGTATGTAACTATGGGTATGGACGCACACGTGTTAGAGTAGTAGGCCACGTACATGATATGTAACTATGGGTATGGACGTACACGTGTTACAGTCATAGGCTACGTGCATGGCATGTAACTATGGGTATGGACACACACGTGTTACGGTAATAGGCTACGTGCATGGCATGTAACTATGGGTATGGACACACACGTGTTACAGTAGTAAGTTACGTACATGGTATGTAACTATGGGTATGTACGCACACCTGTTACAGTTGTAAGCTACGTACATGGCTGTAACTATGGGTATGGACGCACACGTGTTACAGTAATAGGCTACGTGCATGGCATGTAACTATGGGTATGGACACACACGTGTTACGGTAATAGGCTACGTGCATGGCATGTAACTATGGGTATGGACACACACGTGTTACAGTAGTAAGTTACGTACATGGTATGTAACTATGGGTATGTACGCACACCTGTTACAGTAGTAAGCTACGTACATGGCTGTAACTATTGGTATGGACGCACACGTGTTACAGTAATAGGCTACGTGCATGGCATGTAACTATGGGTATGGACACACACGTGTTACGGTAATAGGCTACGTGCATGGCATGTAACTATGGGTATGGACACACACGTGTTACAGTAGTAAGTTACGTACATGGTATGTAACTATGGGTATGTACGCACACCTGTTACAGTAGTAAGCTACGTACATGGCTGTAACTATTGGTATGGACGCACACGTGTTACAGTAGTAGGCTACGTGCATGGCATGTAACTATGGGTATGGACGCACACCTGTTAGAGTAGTAAGTTACGTACATGGCTGTAACAATGGGTATGGACACACACGTGTTAGAGTAGTAAGTTACGTACATGGCTGTAACAATGGGTATGGACACACACGTGTTAGAGTAGTAAGTTACGTACATGGCTGTAACAATGGGTATGGACACACACGTGTTAGAGTAGTAAGTTACGTACATGGCTGTAACAATGGGTATGGACACACACGTGTTAGAGTAGTAAGTTACGTACATGGCTGTAACAATGGGTATGGACACACACGTGTTAGAGTAGTAAGTTACGTACATGGCTGTAACAATGGGTATGGACACACACGTGTTAGAGTAGTAAGTTACGTACATGGCATGTAACTATGGGTATGGACACACACGTGTTACAGTAGTAGGCTACGTACATGGTATGTAACTATGGGTATGGACGCATACGTGTTACAGTAGTAGGCTACGTGCATGGCATGTAACTATGGGTATGGACGCACACCTGTTAGAGTAGTAAGTTACGTACATGGCTGTAACAATGGGTATGGACACACACGTGTTAGAGTAGTAAGTTACGTACATGGCATGTAACTATGGGTATGGACGCACACGTGTTACAGTAGTAGGCTACGTACATGGTATGTAACTATGGGTATGGACGCACACGTGTTACAGTAGTAGGCTACGTGCATGGCATGTAACTATGGGTATGGACGCACACCTGTTAGAGTAGTAAGTTACGTACATGGCTGTAACAATGGGTATGGACACACACGTGTTAGAGTAGTAAGTTACGTACATGGCTTGTAACTATGGGTATGGACGCATACGTGTTACAGTAGTAGGCTACGTACATGGTATGTAACTATGGGTATGGACGCACACGTGTTAGAGTAGTAAGTTACGTACATGGTATGTAACAATGGGTATGGACACACACGTGTTAGAGTAGTAAGTTACGTACATGGCATGTAACTATGGGTATGGACACACACGTGTTACAGTAGTAGGCTACGTACATGGTATGTAACTATGGGTATGGACGCACACGTGTTACAGTAGTAGGCTACGTACATGGTATGTAACTATGGGTATGGACACACACGTGTTAGAGTAGTAAGTTACGTACATGGTATGTAACTATGGGTATGGACACACACGTGTTACAGTAGTAGGCTACGTACATGGTATGTAACTATGGGTATGGACACACACGTGTTACAGTAGTAGGCTACGTACATGGTATGTAACTATGGGTATGGACACACACGTGTTACAGTAGTAGGCTACGTACATGGTATGTAACTATGGGTATGGACACACACGTGTTACAGTAGTAGGCTACGTACATGGTATGTAACTATGGGTATGGACACACACGTGTTACAGTAGTAGGCTACGTACATGGTATGTAACTATGGGTATGGACACACACGTGTTACAGTAGTAGGCTACGTACATGGTATGTAACTATGGGTATGGACACACACGTGTTACAGTAGTAGGCTACGTACATGGTATGTAACTATGGGTATGGACACACACGTGTTACAGTAGTAGGCTACGTACATGGTATGTAACTATGGGTATGGACACACACGTGTTACAGTAGTAGGCTACGTACATGGTATGTAACTATGGGTATGGACACACACGTGTTACAGTAGTAGGCTACGTACATGGTATGTAACTATGGGTATGGACACACACGTGTTACAGTAGTAGGCTACGTACATGGTATGTAACTATGGGTATGGACACACACGTGTTACAGTAGTAGGCTACGTACATGGTATGTAACTATGGGTATGGACACACACGTGTTACAGTAGTAGGCTACGTACATGGTATGTAACTATGGGTATGGACACACACGTGTTACAGTAGTAGGCTACGTACATGGTATGTAACTATGGGTATGGACACACACGTGTTAGAGTAGTAGGCTACGTACTTGGTATGTAACTATGGGTATCGACACACACTTGTTAGAGTAGTAAGTTACGTACATGGTATGTAACTATGGGTATGGACGCACACGTGTTACAGTAGTAGGCTACGTACATGGTATGTAACTATGGGTATGGACACACACGTGTTAGAGTAGTAGGCTACGTACTTGGTATGTAACTATGGGTATCGACACACACTTGTTAGAGTAGTAAGTTACGTACATGGTATGTAACTATGGGTATGGACGCACACGTGTTACAGTAGTAGGCTACGTACATGGTATGTAACTATGGGTATGGACACACACGTGTTAGAGTAGTAGGCTACGTACTTGGTATGTAACTATGGGTATCGACACACACTTGTTAGAGTAGTAAGTTACGTACATGGTATGTAACTATGGGTATGGACGCACACGTGTTACAGTAGTAGGCTACGTACATGGCATGTAACTATGGGTATGGACACACACGTGTTAGAGTAGTAGGCTACGTACATGGTATGTAACTATGGGTATGGACACACACGTGTTACAGTAGTAGGCTACGTACATGGTATGTAACTATGGGTATGGACACACACGTGTTACAGTAGTAGGCTACGTACATGGTATGTAACTATGGGTATGGACACACACGTGTTAGAGTAGTAGGCTACGTACTTGGTATGTAACTATGGGTATCGACACACACTTGTTAGAGTAGTAAGTTACGTACATGGTATGTAACTATGGGTATGGACGCACACGTGTTACAGTAGTAGGCTACGTACATGGTATGTAACTATGGGTATGGACACACACGTGTTAGAGTAGTAGGCTACGTACTTGGTATGTAACTATGGGTATCGACACACACTTGTTAGAGTAGTAAGTTACGTACATGGCATGTAACTATGGGTATGGACGCACACGTGTTACAGTAGTAGGCTACGTACATGGTATGTAACTATGGGTATGGACACACACGTGTTAGAGTAGTAGGCTACGTACTTGGTATGTAACTATGGGTATCGACACACACTTGTTAGAGTAGTAAGTTACGTACATGGCATGTAACTATGGGTATGGACGCACACGTGTTACAGTAGTAGGCTACGTACATGGTATGTAACTATGGGTATGGACACACACGTGTTAGAGTAGTAGGCTACGTACTTGGTATGTAACTATGGGTATCGACACACACTTGTTAGAGTAGTAAGTTACGTACATGGCATGTAACTATGGGTATGGACGCACACGTGTTACAGTAGTAGGCTACGTACATGGTATGTAACTATGGGTATGGACACACACGTGTTAGAGTAGTAGGCTACGTACTTGGTATGTAACTATGGGTATCGACACACACTTGTTAGAGTAGTAAGTTACGTACATGGTATGTAACTATGGGTATGGACGCACACGTGTTACAGTAGTAGGCTACGTACATGGCATGTAACTATGGGTATGGACACACACGTGTTAGAGTAGTAGGCTACGTACTTGGTATGTAACTATGGGTATCGACACACACTTGTTAGAGTAGTAAGTTACGTACATGGTATGTAACTATGGGTATGGACGCACACGTGTTACAGTAGTAGGCTACGTACATGGTATGTAACTATGGGTATGGACACACACGTGTTAGAGTAGTAGGCTACGTACTTGGTATGTAACTATGGGTATCGACACACACTTGTTAGAGTAG